GTGTCACACGTGCCGTAACTTTTGAACAAACGTTATTCACTCTGGCTTCAGCTTGTCCTCGTTTTAACGTCGGAAGTCTCCTTTTAAAGTTCCTTGTCATTTCTCTTCTGCCAAGCCTTTTATCGGTTTATTCAGGGCTATGTTCAGCCATAAAGCTGGGCTAAACAAGAGAACGATTCTGACCATTGTCTATTACATACTGGATCATACGTCTGCACGAACAGCTCAAAATTCACATCAGCCCTTTTGTTAGTTTGTTTTACGCCATTTCGCTACAGGACAATCAACAAACTCAGATGTCTAGGATAAGCATGGAAGTGTCTATTCTTCAGTGTGAATCCAGAAAGGATGCTTCGCTCTCAGAAATCATTACCTTATGACCACTCACATGGTGTATGTTCTGAGTGTCTCGTTCAGTGTGTGTTTGCTTTTGTCAAACATCAAACGTTTGCCTAAAGGAAGGATAGTGGAGTTATTTATGATCACGGTGAACGGCAGGATTTGTATAGGATTAGTAGAATCGCTGCACAGGAATAAGATTTCTGCTGTGGAGATCCTAGGGAATTCAGCCGGAGGAAAGGTGTATTTGGGCTCTGTAGGATGGGCTGGACCTCTGTTTGTAGGGATCTCAAATAAGGTGATGGATGATTAGAAAATTTATTGCGGAATTTTCCGGGAAGTGGCCTACCTTCACCAAGACTCGTTTGGAGCAATCAGATCGGTGAGAGTGAAAGGCCTTACTTCAAATAATTGTATAAAATACCTTAATAGGTAACCTGCAAGCACGGTAGAATATAAGGGCTACTGTCGAGGAGAATGTTGGTAGCTCAATTAGCATAGATGTTCGTTTGTTCGTTCTCTGAGCTGACCAGTGTGATTGCAAAAGTTTCATCATCACTTGATATGACATCATCAGCGCGTTGTTAGGGAGCGTGGTGAAGCACGATGGGAGTGGAGGCCAGATCAAAGGTTACGGGATCATCCATCAATCAGGACACAGGATAACAGAACAAACAATGGGACCGACCGACCGAACAACCAATCGTGGTTGAAGGTCAACCACGGCTAGCGGCATGTATATTAACACACATCATCATCCTCATTGTCAGCTGTAAAACAGCTTACTTGTACAGTAGTTGTGGCTGCCACAGTTTCCTTCACTGATGATTCGGTGAGGTGGTGTAGGTAGCCGTTCAGTGGAGGCGAGAGCTGATAAATTAGTGCGTAACTAAAGCACAGTAGATGGACTGTTAAGTAGGGGGATGAGGAAGAGAGCTATGCATTGAAGACAATATCTTGGATGCACGAGCGCCATTGAGGGCGCGACTGAGTCATGTCTGACGATTTCTCCAATCAGGCGGCTAAATATACCCATTGTAGTCATGAGAACGAAGAAGGTAGCGAACAAAGTTTGTTTTCTGTGATTGTTCATCTTGGCTAATACATCACAAATTTATATGGTAGCAGAAATCACGTGGAAAAAGTTAAGATCGGGGCTACACTTTAGAGAAATAGAAGTCAAAGGAAGGGGGTTGGGTGAGGGGTAGGTCAGTGGGTCATGACGTCAATGTCAGACAGACTTGTGGGACCAGATGTTTCGTGGGCCAGTTCAAGTTCAGAGGTCGCACAATTTTCTTTTGGATGCAAAGTTGTGGATCCAGCAGTCGGATTCCTATCGCTTCTGCGATCGATAGTAGTTTGGATCGTACCAGTCGTGGTCCGTTCAGAGGTACCCGGTATATGATGGTGAAGGCTTCGATAGGAATCCGACTGCTGGATCCACAACTTTGCATCCAAAAGAAAATTGTGCGACCTCTGAACTTGAACTGGCCTACGAAACATCTGGTCCCACAAGTCTGTCTGACATTGACGTCATGACCCACTGACCTACCCCTCACCCAACCCCCTTCCTTTGACTTCTATTTCTCTAAAGTGTAGCCCCGATCTTAACTTTTTCCACGTGATTTCTGCTACCATATAAATTTGTGATGTATTAGCCAAGATGAACAGTCACAGAAAACAAACTTTGTTCGTTACCTTCTTCGTTCTCATGATTTCTCCAATCGTTGATGTGGCCCGCTTAGGGGTCCCCATACAGGAATACGGTAATGACCAGCATAGCTGAGGTTGCCTGTAATGGCTTTTATACTTCACTGCCAAGTCATTGTCCGCCTCTGGCTTGTTTCCATCCTTCACATGGTGTGCGAAAAGAGCCTTCGAGGAAGTCGTCAACTGGCATACGCAGCACGCGGCCAAGCCAGCGCAACCTAGGCAGGGTGACTAGTTAATCCATCGAGGATGAGTTATTTCTTTCAAATACCATTCGACGTACTTCAAAATTGCTGATTCGTTGTTCCCACCAGATTCGGGCAATGCTCCGAAGACATCGATGGTCAGTTACTGAAAGCCTTTTGACGCCGTCGGCGCGCAGCGACCGGGGTTCTGATCCGTATAGTACTATGGAGCGCACCGCAGCTGATGTCACGCCTACGCCACAGGTGACGCAGTTTCACAAAAGCTGTTCTGGCCTTCCCAATCCGGATGGAAATTTCGTCTTTCGCGAGACCATCAGGACTGATACGGCTTCCCCTCCACACAACACTACTCAACGCACAAACACCAACCCATCGCTACGCTCCACCATGCCCCCTAACAACGAACTGATGATGTCACCTTGATTGGCGATAAAACATTTGCAATTAAATTGCCCACCTCAGCGAGCAAACCAACGACCATAAGGGTTACAAAATAATACCTTCTACCGGTTTACTACAACTTTTTGGAGATCGAGGATGTATACGATTGGCTCACACATTCCGCAAAAAAGTGCAGGTGGGGTCTAAGTAAGAGTCATAGGCGATGTGCTGTGGGCAGAAGAAACAAATTGGTCCTAATGAGCGGTGTGTTCTGTCTGGATAACGTATTGTGATACCTCGAATATCGTGTTATTTGAAACATTTGGCAACCTCTATGGTACAAATTCGGTTAGAGAATATCATAAAGAGAACTCCAGATTAGATTCAGTTGAGTCTACTGAAAATTGCACTCACTTTTAGGGCATCTATGGCAGACCGAAATGCTATAACTTGATCTTGTTTACTTCGACTTTCGTACGCGAGTGATCTCCAGATTTCAGCCTGTACCTGCTGCGGTTGATTCTGTAATGCAATAAAAAATCATCAGCTCGCCGACGAAACTCAAAAGCAGATAGTCTTGAACTGGTGAGCTAAAAGCATGGAGTACTGATGGAACAGGCTTAAGAGTTTTCCGCACTTACACTGAACTTCTGCATTTCAAGTTGAACGGGAAGACCAAGCTTTCCCTTCGTCAGCATGAGGCGTTGGAAAAGCGGACTATGGAGAGAAAACACAACAGATTTTGAGGCAGGTGAAATAGTCTATTATACTTTCACAATGAGTCTTTGGAAAAATGACTGATGGTATTAAACCGCATTCTCAGTCGAAGTAAATTGGAGTGAAGCCATCTCCATTTCATGCGATGAAGCTGACCGGATGAATTTGAAACCACAGCTGTATATTTTAATTTCTGACATAATTCACATTGAATCCGAGCATGGTAGAAGTTTTGTTTTGCTCACTAAATCAGCCAGGAGATTTGCAAAAATGCCCGGTGAGACATTTGATACCGGATGGCCTTAGAAAATTTAAGCAGTAATCTTAATTCTGGTACATCCTCATGAACCGTATGAAAGAGAGAGCGGTTTAAACGCGAGTGGCTACCGTCAGTTTAAACCAGGTTTCAGACTAGTTAAACTGTTTCCCAACTGCGTCTGGTGAAAGACGATTTCGACCGACTTGAAAATCACCTGTCAGTTCTGGTAGTTTTTTCACTGGCAGTTTTGACGCCCGTTCATGTCCTAGTGGGCCAGTGCTCTTTCCAGTCATTTTTTACTGTTGGGATTATTTCTAGTACAGGGCCTTTTAAAGAGACGGAGAACCACTGTGTGGCGGCACATCATTAATTGGATAACTAGCAGCAGCATACGTGAGTTGGGATGGAAAACAATTATATCGGGCAAACGTACATTCTGTGATTTGTCCGAGGGAAGTGCCTGAGGCCATCGGAGAGTAGCGATAGTCCATCGTCGTGTTTTCCCTGTGAGTTGAAAGGAAATCGAAAAAATAAACCTTGTAGCCGTGTACGACTACAGTTGTACTAGGAAATGTTTTTATTTAGAATTTGGAATACACAAAAGCCAGGTTACTTTGTATAGTAAGTAGGAGAGAAACAGAAATACTCTCAAGGTCTTTTCGAAATAAAAACCACAGAACCATCCCGAGAGAGATGTTCCCGTAGTTTGTCCAAGACCAGCGTTCACGTAGCGTGTTCATGAAATTATAGCCAAGAATACAACTAAACTAAGTGATCTCTATTGGACTGCGTAAACTATGGCATAAACTTCGAAATTTGACCACATCGGTACGGCTATCTTGCCTTGGTTTGTGCAGTGACTGCATACCAATTGATACAAGTGTTTATTCTGTCTATCGAGTATATTCGCAAGGCAAAGAATGAGGTATTTGCAAGAAAATACACCGGAATACATATACTTTAACCCCGTTTTCACATCTAACATGGGAGACTCGCTTGAGGCGACCCTTTCTTTAATTCGATAACCAAGTATCGTTCGCTATCCTGATCCACTCCGATTTATTTTTTTAAGGATATAGGTGCGTCACGTTTTATCGGGATTTAATATCTAAATTGCCGGACAATACAGTATCATAGGAAGGCTTATTATCTATCAGGCACTTTGTGTGAAAGCCCAAGTTTTTCTGTTATGTGGCTGATGGTGAGTTGGGGCATCCTTCTGGCTGAAAAGTGGTGTCAGAATACTGGCCCAATCAGGCAAAAACCGGGGTCTTTTTATTGTGGACTACGGTGGAGCAATGCCACTTTGTCAAAACAATGCTGAAAATGGTTACAGTGAAGCCATAGTCTGCTAGTTTGTTAACTTTCAACAAATCTATCCTCGCAATAATTCGGTGAAATAGTATGCCTAACAAATAGTGGTTCTGATTGGCCTCTTGTTATAGAACAAAGAAACCCTGATAAATTTGTAACAAAACAAGTTACAGTACCACATATTATGCGAACGCTTGCTGTATGTGCTGAATCCTCTTCTTCTAACTGGTCTCGTGCAGAGGTATGACTGAACTCTCAAGAGCAGGAGTCCAACCGGTGTACGCAGTAAGATGGTAGGAAACTCAAAACAGAGCATGCTTTAAGGTGAAAGCTGTTTTACCCAACGATGGTTTCGGGGACTTTTAGCCGAATCGACGGATTATCGGAAGCGTTGACTTCTGGGAATCGCTGACGTGTGACACTTTGGCTGCGTTGACAATCGACATATCCCACAGTATTCTATTCCTGGAGGCAGTGAATCACCCACGACTGAACTCGTCCGCTTATTTTGCGCCGACGCTACTATTTTGTGCACGCTAGCCTATTTAGTTTCTAGAAAATATGTAGACACTCTGTGAGCCTAGGATGCGCGTCAAGCAAATTGTACGTTACAAAATGCCAAACAAAAAGAACCACACCAAAGGTAACCTTGAAGAAGGAAAACGTTGCTTTAATTCCATGCAGCTTTCTGGGCAAAGATCTGAAACTTCATTCTGAACAAGGCAAATGTGATGCACAGATGTCATATTGCCGTATTACTTGGATGCTTTTTTGACCATAAAGCAACTAAAAAATGATGTAAACATACCTCTAATAAGAGGACGTCAAATAATGTCATGTACATTTCCGTTCGTAGTTGTAGGTCCCGCTGAAATTGAGATAGTGTTGGCGAAGGAGGCCCAATCATTTCGAAAAGAGCGTTTTCTGATGGAAAAAAATACAAGCAATCCAGTGGAAAGTTAGGAAATTTTTCGACGGAATCATTCCTCTCCTGATGATAGATGATAGATGATGATAGATAAATTTACCTTCTAGATCCTGGTCAAAATGATCAGACACTTCCGGTTGATCGCCTTCGGCCGGAGTCGCACTTTCAGAGCGAATAGCCTCATTTAATTTGGCCCGTTGATCCGGAGCAATAGACTTGACCAGTAGCTCGAGGATCTGTTTGCAACGTTCCTTCAGGGGTACACACTGGTGAAGCATCTGCACAACACTAGCGAAGAATGTTAATTCTGAATTTTTGCAAAGCTTCCAATAAGCCTCCGCACATGACACGAGCAGGTCGTAGCGCTTCGCTCGGGAAGCAAACCTGAAACGAAGAACAGTTTTGTGGATAGAATCTGCAGGCATTTTCACTCAAAATTCTATACTTGTTGCTACGTATCAAAGGTGCACCAGCGTCTCATTACTTTACCTGTGAGGTAACCCCTGCTAAGTAGGATGGAGTGGCTATGGTCACTCAGTGAGTTTCTGTAAACAGTAAGCAAAAATCTCCCAGGAACTCTCCCCTACATAAAGGTAATCTCTCAAGAAGATGGATTTGTATCGGTCACTCGCTAGATCATTGGTCATGAACACTCAAACCACGTGACAATTCCTGTCCCACTTGAAACTTTAGCCAACAACTTGTACACTAAATCTTCCCATTAAGTTTTGTTTACACGGCCACCACTTGCGTCACACGCCAGGCTTACGAACTTCAACCACAAGTCAATTTGTATGTATTCATGTTCGTGCAATTAGTAAACACGAAAAGACACTCATGTCTTCACATTGCACAACTCGGCTCAGCACACACACGCGCACAGGACAGGAAGTCAACCGAGCTTCACACGACTCCACGGCTAACTACGGAATACGTGTGGCAGCTATACTGCAGGGAAGACTCGTCCCATGTCCGGACTTCCATTCAGGAGCTCTCAACAACTGTCCTCAAATGATAAGTCACTGTTTGGTCTATTTCACTTTTCGTATTGTATATATTTTTATCAAGTGCACCTAACCATTTTATTCAGCATCACTCTGGCAAACACAGACATTTGTTAGCGCTTCTGATGATAAACTTCATCACGCTACAACTAGAGCAACAACAGATTCTTATTTGTTATTTTTTCCATTAAGAAAGCTAAGAATCCCCACAAAGACAACTCCGCAACTAAGATTATTTAACCAGAATCAAGTGCCTTTCTTCAAGCACAGCGGAATACCAAAGTGTTGGCAGTAATATTTTGGTAATATTCCTAACCATTTTCAAATGTTTTCGTCATTTCAGGGCAACTAGTGCATGTAAACTTTACAGGAGTGCGTTGTATGGATGGAGGTTGGGTCATCTCGCCGTCTGCACCTGTATGCTAGGAATATACAATGGGTCATATTAGCACTCCTAATCTCTCCGCTGTAAGAATTAACGGCCGCTTATTTGGAAGACAGAAATCTGTTTTCAGATGTTGAAACCGGCCTTGGTAATATGACGGTTCATATTCATCCCTGTGGTAAAGCAAACCCTGTCCAAGGCATGTCACATAATTTGTTGGGTCCAGACCGATGCACATTTCGTGGATGCAGTTGCGGCCGCGGTAGATATGGTTGGAAAAGGTTAGGGCGTCAGAAGTCTGAGTGACTGCTAGTGGCAGTCAGTAGAAAAATAACACCGTGCTGCGTTGTAAAGTAGGCCACTTGAGGCTGCCTAAGCTGTTCAGCAGCCTAAGTATCAGTAGATCAAGAAGTGAGCTGGGAACCTTTTCTTCTAAACTCCGCATTCTAAGAACACGGTATAAGTTGAGATCAAACGAGTTGATTCTCCCAACTAGGAGTGTGTGCGCAGCCATCGACAGCGGTCAAATGTCCAGAATAATTGGCGTTTTTTTGACGTAGGAAAGCTCTCAAAATGGAACCAGATGTTGACGCTTATTTTCGGTGGAATAAAAACCAGGTGTATTTGTCTCCCTACTCAACCACTGATTGCTTCATCGTACAGTTAATTCAACACGCGTAAATGAGACTTACAGCTGTGTGACATCTTTCAATGAAACCAGACCAGGATTGGATTAAAAAGCCCAGTAAAGTTCATCGCAGTAAAAAAGCTGGACAAGTCTGTGTTATCTGAATCTTTTCATAATTCAGCAAAATGCAGGACTTGAGCAACAGATGGAATATAATGGGGTGGCGGTCCAAAAACAAAGAGATCATAATGAATACCCCTCTGTTGATGGGATGATCAGCTGTTTTATACTTTTTTGACTGAGTTGCTACAGTTCTAGCTGCACGGATTGGAAAGTTAAGAAAGGTACCACTGACAACTATGAGGTGCTTGTACCGTTATCCACAAACAGATTTCGACAGAGTACCATTATCAACCGGGGGGACCAAATTTCTTCCCAAGGTAACTGAAAAAGAGGTGAAGGATCATGCACTAATTTTTAAGTTACCAAGTTTATTTACTGAACCATAACGTCATCAGGTTGCAAAAAAGGTACTCACTTAATAAGGAAAACTGTTCCGCTATGTGTGGAAATCCCCCCGCATGTGTCATTTGTGGTATACATCAATATCGATGTTTTTACAGTCGACAAATATCGAAAGAAACACTATCAGCTCTAGCTTTTGCGTTACCACTTCATGGTCTCATAAACCACGGATGTTAGTAAAAATCAGATGCATGGTTGTAGAAGACCGAAAACGAACTTTCCACAGACATCAGTCGTCAATTAGAGTTGGCTTGAATATAAATTTCTCATGGATACCCATATACTGCAGTCAGTTTGATCAACTAACTTGAAATATGAAACCGGAAAATATGACTGACTGCGAGAGGACGTGATTCGACCTACTAAGTGAGATTACCTGACTGGAAGCTGCCATTTATATCTGTCCTCTTGGAGTGAATATCGTGAGATGCAATTGAATTTGTATACTTATTAGTACTTAGTAGTAGTTTTCTGATTGCATTCGAACATAGGTTTGTGCAGCTGGAACCGGCTTGTACATTGGTTAACTGAGTATTGTCAAGAAACAGCGCAAGCTAAGTAGGCAGAAAATTGGGGTTTTCGTGAAAATAAACGCAAACAGAATAGGCTGACCAAATTGTTCCTCACCGGTTTGTCAGGACGCAACGATGGCATCTTTCGTATTTTCCCCCCACCAAGTTCCCTTTATATGATATGCGACTAAGTAAACTGACGGAATCAGAGTTTGATATCATGTAGACAAATCACCAGATCGTCATCTCGAAACTGAATAATACAAGACTTACTTTGCTGCATTAAACAGTGCCTCTTCGGCTGCGATGAACATGCTGGATTCGATGCTGTCCCCAAATAAGTCTGATATTTCGTTATTCGGCACCAATGGTTTCACGTGTCCAATTGTAACATGCTTGGAGGGAGATTGGCTTCTCTTATTATGCTGAGAATTAGAGCGCTGCATTTTCAGTAGTCCAAACAACCCAAAGACTGCCAGACCACGAAGGTTAAGAAATGCGGCCATGTAATAATCGCGTCGACTTGACTTAGTCGGAGAGAGTTCATGCTCCATGTGTGCTGAATCACTTATTTGCAAAGCAAGGTTATAGTCCTGCTCAAAAATGGCACATCTGATTAACTTCATCCACAGAGACAATTCCACGACACGATCAGAGTCAGTCACTCTTCGGATCTGAGGGACTGAAGGCTTATGAGCGTAGGTGGGCTGGTCTATATCCCCGTGAGAGATCATATCTTTGGGAAAGGCACGTTCCATGAGTGCGGTGGCCTGGAAATGGTAAAAAACTTGTATTTAGTGTTTTTTTCTTAGCTGAGTTTACTAAATAGATGACTACGGTTGGCTGCTCCTCTTCTCCTTACCAGAAGGTGACATAAGAACCACTGTAAACCAGCATAGCCTGGAAAGCGTTTTGACACTGACCGTTTTCAGAATACAAATGCCTTCAAGCACAGTGAAATTGGATTTTGACAAAGGGTCTCAAATGAGTATGCACAACCTTTTTACCTGCAAAGCTTTCCTTAGATGGGCAACAAGTGTGGATATTTCTCTGAGTCGAAAGTCGTGTTCAAAATTACAGCCTATCACATACCTTGGTAGTTCCTACCATGCACTAGCTCACTCTGAAATATCACATCCTATAGTTTGGTGTCCTAAAAATTATATTGTGTGAACATTCATCATCTTCATCATCACCATCATTATCGTTGACGTCGTCGCTGTCGACGTCATCAGTAACAGGAACATTAGTGCTGATACTGGTGCTTCACTGCCGCACACCCAAAATGTTTAGTTACTTATAACTGAAGAATTAATGGGAAGTGAAGAGGAAGGAGTTAATGGAGAAGTATCCTGGTTCTGGCTTATTGCCGTCTACGCCTTCAAGCGCTAAACCAAACAATCTGAAGAGAAACGGGTAGCATGAGCGCTACTGACACTGACCAGCGGCCATTTCTTTCAATATCTCCATGAAAACTTAAGAGACGGTCGAGGGGGCCTCAGCCTGGGAGGGTCCACACCACCAACATCTAGACCGTTTGTAAGCTTTTTCTTACTCACACTTGTTCACCGGAATAGCTGAACGTAACCTACTCAGGGAAAATGTTCTCCATACTCGGCTCAAATTGTCGTGTCCGTTCAGCCTCAGACCTGGAAGCTTGTTGCCAAGCCTACTAACTCGGTAAAAAAGTACCACTGAATGGACCTCCTAGCGTTTCTAAAAGATAATAAGACTGAACTTCTTAAGATGACTCGACAGGAACCCTGACTTAGGTGTACCTCAACGCTCAAGAGGTTTAACACAACTCCGGACACCTTTGCTTGATATCAAGCCATCTCAAAATTTTCACTGAGACATTTCAAGATTTCTAGTGTGGGACCTCAAGAAATTTATTGAGACATCTCTGGAAATTCCGTGACTTCTCAATATACGCAATCTAACAGTGATGATTTCTGAACGAGCGGGGCAAATAAACGGTTCACACATTAGTTGTGTATTGTAAACTGACACAGTTTATTTCAATTCATTAAAGTTTCCGAACCGGAATCAGGCTCCATGGGACAAACCGGCCGAGCGTCTTGAGACAAACTGGGTCATTCTGAATACCATGGGAGCCAACAAGATGGTCCATCCTCACAAACAGTTTGTCAAAATACGAAATGACAGCAGCCCCACAGAAATCTACACTGATCATTTGCAAGTTCACGAGGCGGCAAAAATGCTGGACGTTAAACTCAGAGGAGTTCACCATGGGCAGATTCAGTGGCCCTTCTAGTGATGGTTGCGGGCTATGTTGCCTGTCCGTTGTTCACGTCACAAAAAGTGCCCAAGTGATGTTGTATTCTTATGATGAATTGTCGGAGGACACAAAAACGCCGTAGATGCAAATTTTCCTCGAGACGGACTGCCTTTGTTAAGAGAGTCACAAATGGATTAGGGTAGATTCGACGTAGCTCGAAATCCTTCCATTGGCTACGCCATAGAAGAGTCCTTTCCGAAAGAGGGCTACAACCGACGATGGAATCAACCTAACTTTATCCTTTTTTCGTGTAGGACTTACTTAAACATGACATGTTTAAGGCACAGTGAAAACTCACCAGAAAATTAGTTGATTTCGACTGTTGAGAATACTTGAAAGGGTAGAGAAAATTTACACAATCAATCAGGTTTACTCACCTCGTGGAGTGAAGCATCTCTAAACTGCGGTAAACTTGATGGAGCTTGTTGAACCTCTGAGGCATTGAATGTCCATGGATGGGTGTTCAACAAATTCCTGATCATAGGTGTCCAGGCTCCAAGTAACTTTGAACGGTTTGTCAACCAGACGGCATGAACAGCAAGCATAGCAGCTGTAATTGATGACCGTGTAGACGAGTTTATGGGACTTGTGCTTCGAGCACTCGAAGGCGAAATATCATCTGCGCTTATATCAGTCTTCTCTGTTAAAAGATTATTACTGTGAAACATATCCCCAGGAAACGAATGTTTGTACGTAGGCGCGGACAAAAGCATTTGACGTGTAACCATCCAGGTATATGTGAGGTAGAACCTCGTGTTCCGAGAAACCATTTCACACGCGTCATGCTGTGCTGTAAGTGATTGTCTGTTTCGGTTGTTTTTCGTATTAGTTTCTGCATGCTTCACAAGTTTGGCCAACTTGACTAAGCAATCTGAAGCCATTTGAACAGATCGACGACCTTCTGGAGGCAGCTGGAGTAAATAATAATATGAACTCCTTGGGTAAAAGATTACTGCTTAAAGAAGTATTATTATTGAAAGAACAGTGTGTAGGTGAGTTATAAAAATGTCGCGAATTTGCATGAGTCAATATACCACAAATAAATGAGAATAGGTGGAGTAAACTTGTCAGACAAATCCATGTACTTTCGAGCTTAGATACACTGCTGCTGATACCGAAAGGCCTTAATTGTATGACGGATTAATTAGGATTTTTTTCGGAGAATGGACAGTTTTACACAACTGGGTAAAATTTAAAAGCCGAGGACCATTACTCTGCCCTTCCCCTTTGGGAAAGATCCATATGGAGCTATTCAGGAGTCCTCAGGTAGGTGTGTACCAAAAAACCTTTAGGAGAGAATAGAAGGCGTGGCAAGCGTGTGGAGAACGGTTCTGGATCAGTCGAGCTGACACGTGTTGGTGTTCGGTCATCAGAAGGAAGGGTGGTCCTCATCTGATTTCCACTTGACCTCAACCCCCTCAAACTAAATTGTCGGAGCACTCAAGACCTCACAAAGACCAGGGAAATTCTACCAGTGGCAACCGAGGTGATTCATCAACTGAAGCACCCTGAAGTGGAAGATTAACAAACCAAACCCGATCAGAATTAATTTGAAACTCCCTCAATCCACCAAAACTAGAGTATGACAACCTCACTAACCGACGAGAGCCATTAATGGACACTCAACACTGATCTAGTGTGATAATCTGAAGAGGACTGACTTATTGATTAGTTCCCCGTCTGCCTTATAACCTGGCCAATTTGGTGACCTCACTTGGCCGGATGAAGCTTTTGTGTCAAAAGCGAAACGTTGCCCAAATAAAAACTACCGATTTCAGAGGGGTTTGGTAAACAATCGGTGGATTTATTGTTTACCAAACCCCTCTGAAACGATGACTTCCCAATCGGTCCCAAAAATTTTCCAATTGATTGAAAACTACCGGTTGTTTATCAGGTTCTTCTGAAACGAAACTTCAGGAGAGTCATCCTAACGAACTAATATCTAATCACTGATGGCTGAAAAGCTACAGGATTCACTCCCACTTAGGCGAGACTGTTTACCACTCATTCTGCATTAACACATTTCGGCCAACTGTAATGTACTAAACCCTTGTAAGCTCTACGAAACACTGTGCTTTGAAAGGGAGGTTTGTTCCCATGCGACAAATACAGTTCTGCTCTCGGAAGTCTCATCCAAATTTAATAGTACATTTCGTCTCGTTAATTTGAGGTTGCATGCACACTAACTGAATGAAGACGTTTGCAAAGCGAACGAGTTTTACTGGCATTGTGCCTGGAGTGAACTCGTCATCCACTGAACGGGCTCCAGTGACTCTTTCGCCACCGGCACTACTGAATAAAGTTGACTAGAACAAAACTGCGGAGAGCTGGAAAATCTGATAACTTTCGAATTTCGAGTGCAATTGTAGAAGGCGCTGGAGCAAGCACCAGTGCACTAAAGTTTAAAGACGAACAAGAACCCAGAGGTCCAGCAGCCGTTACTAGTCTGGTTATGAATAAAACATGAGGTTGCGTTATTTCCGCCCAGACCAGCTGCTACAAGTGTACTAATCATTTTATCCCGATGCTAAAGGACCTCTCTAAGTCCTGCAACTTAAGTGATGGAGTAAATTTGAGGTTGATTTCCTACCCTTATATTCTAAGCCTTCTTGACAAAAGGACCACAAAAAGACTCATCAAAGGCTGTTTGCTGTCGTCCACCCAATGCATCAATATATGTCATAGGAAATTGTTGCTGAGAGTGCTCCGCGGTTCCTCAATTATGAACGTGGCTCAATGGAGCCAAATGAGGTCTTGATGGAAAATTTACTGGCTAGCAAATTTCGAAAATGTACATCTGAAAATAAAGAAATGCCCACCGTGAGATGTAGTGTGCTAACATGCGGTGAACAGAGTCAAGTTCAGATCAACGGTCTTTAAAATGGTCGAGTTAGGATGAGCGGAATGTTGTATCAACGGGGTGAGAAGCACTGTTAACCTGCTCGTCCAAGTCCACCACTGTTGATTTCAGTTAAATTCAGATACCTGTCTAAACATCAGCCCTGGCGGCCAATTCCGGAGCCAGTTGTTAACATCAGCGTACTTGATATCACGGATGTGCAACGTCACGCATTCAAAGGTCATCAGTAAGATGCACCTGAATGCAAAAGTCATAAATATGGGTTACAAAACAGCCCGAATTTATGATGCACAGGAAAGAAAAAGTAACTCTTGTTTTATTCAGAGATCGACGAAGAGATATTTACCGTCAGGAATGATCATAATTTTGTTTTGTTTTGGTTTGCACTGGGACGCTAATTTTGTAAAACACCCCCGGTTCTCATAATGAGCTAAGTGTCCTACCAACAGAAGTCGAATTGCTTATCGCAGCTAGCGCGGTTTCCGTAGCAGTGCAGGTAAGAGGGGTTTCAGTGACACAGTGGGAAATGCTGCGTATCAGACTCAATCATCTGACTGCGCCGGCTACCATAAAACCAGTTGATGAGCCAAAAGACTGGGTCAACTATATATAGATGAAATCATGAAAAAAAACCAGGCAAGCTACTAATTTGCGTCGATCGTAGGACATTGAATGACGTACCGCATTGTGAATATAGTCAGCTTCCTATACTAGGTGATATACTCCAAATCATGTGTTAGACAAAACCATTCAGCACCTTTGGATTGTCGCTTGATTTCCGGCGATTAAGACTCCATTACCAGTCACTATATTTAGTACACTTTCCGGTTGTCTATAGAGCAGAATATCGGTAGCTCAGGTAGCGTAGATGGTCGTTGGCTTGTTCGCTGAGCTGAGCAATTTGACTGCAAACATTTCATCACCAATCGAGGTGATATCATCAGTGCGTTATTGGGTTAGTGGTTGTGCAAAACCACTAACCCACCGCTACGCACAACTACGCTCCCCAATAACGCACTGATGGTGTTACCTCGATTGGTGATGAAACGTTTGCAATCAAATTGCCCAGCTCAGAGAACAGGCCAAGGATCACTCTGAATAGCGGACGACTTACTGGTATTCCGACAAAGTGGTGAACTGCCTCCTCAATTTCGAATATGTTATTCATCTCTTTTCAGATTAAGTGCAATACCGGACTGTCTCTTGCTTCTCACGGATGTCAGCTGGCATGAGACACGAGAATCCGGAGAAAACATGCCCATTTCGAATGATACTAAAGCAATTACCAAATTGGACGACATGGAGAGTTACTCATTCGTCTTAGCAACAAATTATAATTGATGCAACCGGTCCGTTTCTTCACACAAGACGGTGCCACGGAAATGGTCAAGGAGACGCAAAAGAAAAATAAAGCAACTTGAGTAAACTGCCACTGAAGCAGTTTTGTTAGCTTACTATGGTCCATATTAGCAGCTACTCATTCAACACGATGGTAATCAACCCGGTTTGGATGTTGTGCTACTTTAAGAAGACATACCAATGGAGTATAGGAGTCTCATTCTTTCGAAAACTGAACAGAACTATGCACAATAAGAGGAAGAACTGCTGGTAGTGATACTCGCTTTGGGATGTTTAGCAGAAATGTGGTGATGATTACGGATCATAAAACGCGCATTTCCATCATCGGAAAAGCCTTGTGTTAAGTGCCAAAGCATTTGTGCAGGATGAATATAGGAACACAACGCTGCGACCAGTTTCATACAAAGAAGGAAGTCAGGTGTTTGTCGCCGATACGCCGTCCGGAACTTACGAGCCAGAACATGACTAAATAAGGGGTTCGGAATGGATGAGAAATCGAAAGGTGTCAGACAGAACGCCATAAGAGATAAGGTTTTCATGCAACTATGCGATGCGATTCACGGAGACTGATCAAGCGCAGAAGTGCAGTATCCACCACAGTTCCGAGTTTTCCCCAAGGACATACATTTATTCGCCAATGAGGGTGGACTGGTTTTCAGAGATGACCATATTTACATACTGCGTGGTTCCCGAAAGCATATAATGCGCATTATTCATCTGTCGCGTGATGCTAACAGATATGGCGTTCAAAAGGCCCGTAAACAGTACTTCCGGTGAGCATGTCTGGCCATAGCAGAGATTATGTCTCAAGATTAACCACCTGTCAGAACTCTAACACGAGACAAAGAAAAGAACCAATGCCAATGGCAAATGATGCCAACGGATCTCCAAGAATGCAGTCAAATTCACTACTTTATGGTGATTCACTACTGTGGCAATTTTTCGGTGTCGATCAACTACCCAACATTAAGACCACATCAGTTGTAAACCGCCTCATTTTGCATTACATGAGATTCCCTACATCATGTTTAGGAGAATGGGACAACCTTGTTTAGAGACTTCTCAGAAAAGTGGTTTATTCAGCATCAGAATAGGAGTTCTTTGTACGGTCATCGCGGTAGCAAAGCAGAGTCAGAGGTAAAAGCTGTTGAAGCCTTGCCCACAAAAATCCAAGACAGAGTATTCGCCACATGATGTTGGAACAGCGGAACACATCAGCACCGCACCCCAAAGGATGCAGGCTGGCACAGCAAGTGAACTGTCAATGGATTCGCACATTGCTGTTCACTACTGCCAGTTCGTTAGTTCAATAAGCAATCAACCAAGAGGTGGTTACTAAACGGTTTAACGAACGGAACACTTTCCAGAAATACCTACTGCGGTCGTAATACCAAAGCTTTGTGAAAAATGCACCCTGGAGGAGGAGATTTGAGGGGAAACGATTGCCACAACAACCGGATGCACGAAATGGGAGTCTGGGGTGGATCTGGTTAATTAGGCAATCAAAGTCATTTGGTAACGACGGACTCCTTGATTGGGGAATTCTTAGCAAGATGACCCAGCGAAGAAATATCTTTGCCTCCAATGCATTTTACATACTGTATTTCGGAAACCAAACAAGCATGTGAACACTGACTAATCCCCGGTTGGGGCGATGTCTATTATGAGTAACAGACCCTGTGTTCCCCTGCAGACTTTAACCGGTAGTAAATGCAAGTAAATTGAACTTACAAGCTTACATAATTGTAGGTTGAATACTAACCATAAAAACTTTAGGTCTTTCGGGAGATCTTCCATGCAGAGCCACATTTTTCTGACCTTTGCTTGTGGGCGTTTTTGTTTTCATAGTTGGAGATGCATCGCGGTTTTTGTGTAGAAGAAGGACACCCAGATCACTTTTGGGCATCCAAGGCTGTATACTTCCGTGAGCATAAACGGAAGCTAGTTCACAGTGCAGATCCAGTGGTAGAGCTTTGGACCCAAGAGAATCTCCACAGTCCAGAATGATCTGAAACACGGTATTTGGAATTATCTGGCAGTGCCTCCACCTGAATTGCAACATAGCATGGGAAGCTACCCGGCACTATAAACAGACAGTGAACAAACTGCTGAGGAATTTCGTGGTCCATTACATCTTTCAAGTCACTCGTATAGAGAATTGCCACCTCGTAGATTCTAGCAGAGTTCACAGTGAAAAACACGCCTATACCTTGAACTAGGTCACCGAATAAGTTCCCACTCACATTGCGACTGGTACCACTGCGATATGCTGACTTTTTGTAGAACTCTTCATTTTGTCCGATAGAAATCGGCTATTGTGGACATATGCGAAGGAGGCAAAAATATGTCTGTAATAATTATAATCTCGACGCTACAAGTCGAGTCCTAATACTTTCATAGGGTGTTTCGCAAAACTTATCAAGGTGCTCCAGTAGGACGTTGTTCAGTTCAAACTACAAGTCTAAATTTGAATTTAAGGTTTTCCAACATTTGGTCAGCCTCTAAATTGGGATCGAGAGCAGTTCATGCTTCTGGGGACAATGATGTATTGATTTCCATCTAGATACGTCGTACGGTCTGCATAGATAAAGTAAGCAGAAACTCCAGCTTTAAGTCAACCTAAACTCTCAACTACAGCTTCAGTAGCCTGACGAAATTACGATTTAAACAGTCATTCAGAGTGTGTTTAGATAAAACGATGGTCACCTGTTTACAACAAGTAACGATAAACTCCGACAAAACACTCATATGTATACCCATTTGGTTTTGGCGGTAGATTCAAAGGAATCCAGTTTGTGATGATCCGCTCCAGCGAAATGTTCTGCACCATGCTGCCTGATGTTTCATTAGGGACGATATACGGACTACCTCACTACGTTGTTGTCTGCATGTAACATACTACTCGTTAGGAAAGGTGCCACCTGCGACGATCAACAAGTTGACAGGCTCTATCTGTATGTGCAAACACTTTGGATACCAGTTGAAACTGTAGACAACGGAATCACAGACTTCTATTATTTCATCATAAAACATTTTACTGTGAACAATTTAAAGTAGCATCAAGTCCTCCCTGTTTTTTTTGATAATATTAAGCCGTACATCTTGTCGGGTAGATATACGCAATACCCGGTCAGCACTTTCCAATTTATCGCCTTCTTTAGCTGGAAAAACGGCTCTAATAAATCCTTCAAACTGTCACCAACTGCAGAACTATTGGACTCTTTTTGGAGTTGATATCCTTCTTTGAGTGGTAGTTGCAGTCGTAAAATACAATGAATCGAAGTGTTTAACGACCAGTTCATGGTCTGAAAATTCTTGGAACACTTGATTCGGCTTGTAGGTACGTTGAGATCAAATTTGGTAGACATGGTGAAAAGACTGCACAAGCGGCACATAATTTACCATGCTTATTCCGACCTAAATTATGTACGGTTTTAGTAGCTGAGACTCGTTTTGGAGCAGAACGTTCATGGGCGGGCCACAGAGTAAATGCTGGTTAATTACAGTCGCCTTTCATCAAATACCACATATGTTGTTCATGTACAAAAGTAAACAGCAAGGGCATTTTGTCAGGTATACCATGGCCTGAGTCAAAGTTTAAATCACCAGTCTGTTTGGACAAATCCTCAAGATTGTTTGCAATGAATGTGCATGCGCACAAATGCCATTTAGAACTTGTCGGGATTTTTGTTACGACACTCACTTGGAAGGTGGCGACAAGCTGATCGTGTTCACCTGCACACACCGCAGGTAAACAGTGGTTCCATAGGCAGACCACACATGCTTGAAAGAGCTGCGTGTCCCGGAGTTCAGTTGAGATTCTCGCACTTCGCTGAAAAACCAGCATCGCACTTTCGGATATGACTTGTAACCAATCACTAGGGTAGAAGGGGACATAAATTTGCGTATAGAAAGCCTGTGACATCACTAACCTGGTGATTAGAGCGAGGACTGAATAAAAGGTAAAAAAGATACTCGTTCAGTTGTAACACCTTTTCAGTACCTAGATGCCATTCCACCCGAAGGGAGCACGAGGTCTGAGATACTGTCAGCTTGCCCAAGACTAGACAGGAAAAGTCCAGGTGCAGAGGTCAGGTTCAAACCACAGGACTTCCGGTCAGTAAATTCACACTGTAACCACTGAGCAATCTCGCCCTGTCTAATGACTTACCTTTTACCAAACGAACTTGACTAATTTTTATGTTAGCGCCGACAAGTATTCATTCATGTCTAACCAAAGAAGGCCTCGAATATACGTCAAATGTGATGGTTCAACTAAATTTTCAAGATCCTGAGAATATAGCACCTCTAGGATCATGGATGAAAAGGCAAAAATTTCAGTTCACTTGACATTTGAGAAAGTCAAGTGTCAGTTGCGGAGCTTTGGTGGATAGCAAAATGAATTATTCTTGTTGATCACATTGAGAAAGCCTGCCAACTTACACTTTTTCTAATAGTTCCTGGTTAGTATCGCCAATAAATCTATTGCATATGTTCTGACATTTGAGCTACTGTTAAGTAGAATAGCTGGATTCACTCATCTGAGGTTTCTGAAACCTCCAGTGTGAGAGAAACTTCAGTTCAGGATAGGCACACAGGAACAGAAAGGGGACTACCTAAGCGAGCCTAAAGTTGACCTCAAAAAGTCGCTTTCGGAACGATGAGTCAAAAATGCACGTTGTTCACTGGCTCCAACCTGATTTAGTCTGATTTTCAAGGGAGAATCAGCCGGAACAAAGTCGATTTAAGAGAAACAGACAAACCCACAGGAGAACCATTTGAATGCTTCTACTGGGTCCGAAGCTGATACATGGTCTGATAATTTGTTGCACAATATTCTTCCTGCACTGATCATTGTCGGTCAGATCCACGTTTAGGTTAACACCTCGAGGCTTCCTTCGAGTGTTACGTCCCTTCCAGGAGAAGCATGCTTCTGCTGATCTTCTGAGGTTTAATTTCCATAGCAAAGCAGTCACACTTAGGTATTCAGGTAGCGCGGTGACCTGGGAAACTTACGATCCTTTCCCAGGTTGGATATCAACAACAAAGAGGTATATATGAAGGAGCACATCTGTATGCCATTACAAAAATGGCATCGCTTTATTCGCAGCAGGTTAACCACATTCAGGTACGACCGCCTTATCAGTAAAATGAAAAGTGATCAATGTATTTTTGGTAGACCACAATCTTACTCACCAGTAAACTTTCCAATATTCTAGCTTCTTTTCATTTTCTATCAATCGTTTTTCCATCCTAAAGGATGTTGACTCAGCAGCTCCCAAACCAGGCTCTCCGTCAATTCGGGTGTCAAGGTGATCCCATGGAGCATGTAATTTGTGCATCTTCCCACCAAGATGACATTGACGATGTTGACCGCGTAGTAATACACACAGACTTTCTGCATATAGACAGTTCACTTCAGCAAGTGCACGTAGGACATTCAGCTCCTGGAGGTTCCGTGTTCCCGGTGATATGTTCAATGGGTGTTTACCCAGAGTTAATTTCCCACGCGCTGGAATTCAAGTGTTTGGTTAGTTTGTTTTATTGTCAGTCAAGCAATAAAGAAGCAGTCTGGTGAAAATTTTCCAAAAATAAGCTGAAGGATTTGGTAAATGTTGAAGACATCGAGATTAGACGCATGAAGAATGCACAAAAATTTATTCGCGAGCGTGTAAGGGTCACATGCTGGTTAACCTCAGGAAGTAAAGTTCGTAACAAATTTATCGCATAAGTTGAACGAAACAGCCGCTTCATAATTCGACCTTCTTCTTATCAGAATCAATTTTTCGNGGGGCGTGGAGGCGATAATTGCGCCAACGAATATGGAATATTCTTGGAAACGGAATTCGCTTAATCTGAACAGAATGAGTTTGAAATTAAGTAGTTCGGAGGCAAGTCTTGACCTTGTCGTGACCTTCATGGCCCATCTGTTAAAGACTGACCACCTGTCGTTTAAACCTAAGCCGCGCTATATGATCTTTTAGCTCACATTTTGCATAGTTTACACAGCTATAGTCTTATCATCACCTTCTTGGCTTAGGCTCAAACAGAGGCAAGATAGAGTGACAACTGTTCCCAACCGTGCAAAATGATAAGACGAATAACCGACAAATCGAAAGCGGTTCCAAGGGGAGGCCAGATTGGCTACTACGAGACGTAATGTACCAATACCGTTCAGTGTTGCGCCAAGATCAGCGGCCATTAAAGAAGGCAACTTCCGAACCACAGACTTTTGGTTGGGAACGATGTGAGGCATATGAAATTACTGAAAAACAATTATGACACGTACGGGAGCCCGAGTGGGATGCCGCCTTCGCAGTGGAGCCCAAAGTATTTGTTCCGTCATCTTTTCTGGGTGCACTCTTTCGAGTACTCAGTAGGGTTTTCGAAGACACCGTGCTAAAAGAGAGTAGCATCATATTAGTAACATAATAAAAATCAAACTCATAAATGCTTGAAAGAGAATCGAGGACTGTGCTGCTTGAGCAACTCAGGTTTTGCAAAATGTCTTGTCTGATGTCCAAATAGAATAATCGGGTTTTGAGTGCTCGTGGGCCCGTTTACGTGACATTTCATTCCTTCCCCATTTCCCAGTTGAAATAAACACCTTAGACAATGAATTAACATGATCTCTGGAAATGAGAAACGCTGGTAAAACAACGTAAATTTGATTATAAGGGAATATTTATGGTTAGCGTTCGCAATTAATTTTAATTTTGAAAACAGGCCCGAAACCTTATTTCGTGCCTCTCTTCAGATTGGTGCTATCATGATTCGAATGACGACCTGAAATACGCCATCTTTAGATGAGACTCACTCCCAGATATTACAGCAAACATTTTCAACTGGGTAAACCTGGGATCCTTTTCCTTTCCTCACTGGTGACGTCGAGAGACATGCGATAGTCATCATATCTCCCTGCGAAGACAGTGGCCTCGAGTCTGTTTACTTTTTTCATCTTCTTCAGTTTAAAGTGTGAAGAAAAGAGAAGTAGCTTTGAGCAGATTTCCTTGCGATGTGCCGGCTTGTCATCTGGTAGAAAGTAGTAAATATCAACCTCCTCTTTCGGACTCTAGCACGCTTGAACAATTCTTAGTGACGCGCCATCTACATGGAGATGGTCTCTTTTAGATGATGATATTTTGGACAACTGTTTGTTCACACTAGCTCATTTCTACCGTCGTCCGTACTGGACTTTGCGTCTGACCAAGTGGCGCATTCGCCCGACTATTTTACTCAGCTTATTAACCGCGGTCAAAATGGCAGGTTAGTAGTCATTATTCCGATATACGTCAAAACGGAAGCTGAACTGGCGCCCTTCCTAGCTCAATGATCGGCGGATATGTTAGCAATTTTCACTTATATGCTTTTTAAGACTCACATTCGGATAGGAGCAGTAGTGTAGTCAACATTGTAGTCAACCGCTCAGCTATCATAGCGTTTTGATGGACACAGCACGTTAATATAAATTCCAAACATTAGAATGACGTTAACTAATTTGGGGCTTGTGCAAACTAGACGCGCTTCGTAGAGAATAAGAATAACCGTTTGCAACCAAATTGCCCAGCTCAGCGAACAAGCCAACGACCAGAATAAGCTATGTTATAAGAGAGAAAGTATGTTCGTTAAAGTATACCCAGACCATTATATAAAGGCTACAATTTAAAACCTTGGTGCTCAATTACTTTGATGTCTGAAGGCTGCTAGTTGCTCCGGTGTGAATGTCACATTGATCATAAAGCAGGCAGTACCGACTCGCCAGGAACGATACATCCCACATGCGAAACCGACGTGCTGTAGTGGCCAAGTCTCTCCATAGCAGAACCCTGTTTAGGGACAAAAGGAAATGTCACAGACGAGATCAGTGCACTGGGGGTGTGTAAAGGGAGTTGTGCCCATTTGAATACAGCAGAGAGTAAGAGGCTAAACATATTTCGTGTTTACTGAGTAAGCGCTAGTTATGAGATAACGTTTCGTCCTTTGTGCTTACAATGACAGTTTGAAAAGAGCAAGACTAAAATAGAATCCACTGGTCTAAAGCGAAAAGCATTATCAAAACTGTACGGTGGGCACATTTAAAAAGGGCCAAACATCAAATTCTGTCTTTTCTTGGAACAGTCCAGATATTTATCGTTTTAACTACCAAGTTAGATACTTTTTCTTCCTTCTAGCAGAAAATTATAAAAATTGACGCCAAGTTCGTGAAAATGGATTTGAACCATCTGTTATTATCTGAATTTGCGACTTCCTGACGTATTTAACAAACCGACCGCTTGGTTAGATGTAGACACTGCTTGTGTTGATACCTGGTCTGTCCCTTCCTATAAAGAACATATATAACCATAATAACACAAAGCTTGTTATTGTATGCCGTATGTATTGTATATGTTTTCATAATGTTACCGAGTATCCACACGGTAAAAAGTGTTTTCTGTGGAGGGTGGTATTCAAGCAACCAAACCTAGCACTATTGGTAGTTGGTAGCTTATCCAGCTATCATGTTCGGTACGTAAGCTGCTGTTCTACAGTGGTGGATATTTTCTTTGCTTCTTTTGCTTCAGTAAATGATATGCGGTTCACAAAGGACATCGGTCGCTGCCTTGTTTGTTTGAAGAGAGCCCTTGAAATCATCATTTTTAGGAATATATGACTAATATATATGCGGCATTTAAGTCTGTATAGTCTGGCAGAATTTGAACAATGTTTTCGGGAACCATTCCGTCGTACTGACGTACAGAAAGCACACTATCCGGAAGAAGCTTTGCATTGGTTGTTTGTGGGAAGCAGCTTCGGATTAGTCAGATACAAACGGGTATTATTCGTAACCCTCCGTAACCGAGCAAACTGACTATCTCCTCTCTTCTTGTTAATCTGTATCTTGTTTTACCAACAGATTAAACCAAAGAGCCACACTCATACCCAGTTTTACCTAGTGTTCCTAATCTAATGTTTACTGGTCCTTCTGTTTTGGAGAAACGTCCGAAAATTGACTAAAGCCAGAAAGCGTCACTCTGAGGAATGTTCAATACAGTAAACATGGTGTAAATTGCCGGAAAACACGTATTCCGTCGGCACCTCGGAAACATCCGCTGCCACTTCTGACTTATTCTAATGTGATGAAAGACTGCGTATTTTTTTTGATTCATTTACTTTAGTATCCGAAATCCGAACACATCTCATGATGGTTCTTGGAAGGCTCTTTAGGAATACGCAGCCACATGAAACAAAGGATTCACGGAGTTGACCCCCGGACAGCGCCTGAGCGACAGGTTTTGAACAAGTCACCTTTTATAATGGGGTCGTGGTCACCAGACATCTTTGCATTTTTTTATAGGGTTTTGCGCCAAATACTATCGCCGAAGCATTTATGTTCAGGAATAATTATCGATCTTTTGAGCATGCATACTTTTAAAAAGTACCAGATTAGTGTGTTCCATAAATGCATGGATGTGTAATTTTATATATCCCTTGGTAAGCTTATTGAGTACACCTGCTTCGTTTTCACGTCCCCTAACCGTCATACTCCTTTCAAAAACGGAATGGCACAATTTTTCAAAGCTTATAACCAAACTGTCATGGTTGCCTTACCCTAATCCATTTTCTCGTTTTGTTTAATCATTGTCTTTAATCCACTTATAGGAAAAGTTTAAGCCTCTGAGGAGAGGGCACTAAAAGAACCAACAGGCTTGCTTCCTGCCCTAATAAATATATCATGATTCCTTACAGTTCTGATAACATTTGCCAGTTATACCAACTTTTGGGGCGTTCTGCCTCACCCATTAAAACAGCTTCAATAACGTCTACCTACTTTGCTTTCTCGCCTCTAACGGAAGCCTCTTTGAACGGTGCACATGTGTAGGTAAAGAAGATTGCAGAGTAAATGAAAGATCAAGAAAAGAACCGCAATGATCTAGGCTTGGTAGAAGAGTACCACGGAATTAGTTCCAAAACTCCAGTGCTGGTTTATTACCTTGCTTTGCCGAAACGCGAGTCCACTCGTGAATTCTTTCAGTGTCTTTGGCACCTGACATACGTATAATCATATTGCCAAAGTTTCATCGAGCAGAATATGCTTTATACAAAGGAAGTAAACTACCAAGAAATTTACTGGTATTGAGTTCACGGGACTGCGACCATTACAAACAGTTATTCCGTGCAGATGATTTACACGCCGCCGTACCACCAACGTACAGATCAATGAAGAATTAAAGTAGACTGTGGAATACCACTACATTAGTAGATTAGCTCTCGATCTGTCCTAACAAGCTAAAGTCTCTGTTGCATCTTAAAAGCATCTTCGGTATAACAATTTCAGAACCAGTGTCTGTCTTAAAGTTTGAGTGTCAGGATGCATCATACCTGAGGATTCAAGGTAGGTAGTACCATCAAACTCCATAAATCCCATCATCACTATCAACGATATTTTAAATCCAAACGCTAGCATCCTCAGTAAGTATAAGTAACCTATCATTCAGCCCAGGGTGTTTTCCACTTATTCAGGCAGTATTCATCAGGCTCCGACCAATGGCCGACTGAATTCAAGAATTAATTTATTTTTCTTCAACACAAGATTTTTTCATGAGATTCCCAACTGTATGAAAGCTTCTGTAAAAGGCGCTTTGTTTCCTCGTATTATCTTCTCGACTTTTTATGGAGGAACATCGTTTAGCAAAAAGGCCCATTAAGGTCCGTTTTGAGATGTGGCGAGGTCTCAAAGGCTGTCCGTATCGAATCAGTCTTTGGGAAACTTTGTCCTGTCTTGTTTGAAGACGGTTCAATTTCCAATACATAATCCATATTTAATCTATTGATTACCTGCCTTGATATCCACCTCGATTTTTGTTTCTAAACTCGGCCTAATTTCTTTTCGGAAGCTCTGCTATAATAAACCACCCGAAAACATAACTGAGGATATGACTTCAAGATAAGCAAGTTGCAAATGATCTGAACCATATATTTTTCTGGAGAATGTTGTATTGGACTGAAGAATGGTGCTAAATCACGAAGTACTGTGACTCGTTCTGATAAACTTAGGCGTATCCCTTTATTCTTATCCCTCTCTGCTTATTTCTCATTTTTAACGCCTCATTCCATGAGGTTTTCCTAACACCTTTGATTGACTCCTTCGCTACTGTACTCAGTTTCCTCCTTTCAACATTTTTGATGGTTGCACCATTATTCTTGATATGCATGTTGACTGTGTGTGGGGTTCAGACAGAACGGTCTCGTCAGTTCTTTGGGCATGCCTACCTACGTTAGTAGTTCTTCACTTAAGCGCTCATCTAGGTGGATTGTATAAGTTGATGACACCTCATAAGACAGGTGGTATCATGACCGATGTCCAGAAAGACTCCGTAGAATCTAAAAACCTGATGCCGTGCCTCAACTTCCTTCTAAAACCTTCACATCGATAGTATGTATTACACTGATCAGTGATAAGTTCTTTAAAAGCTTTCCTACGTAGATATTCAAATATAAAACCCCTCACAAATGCGGACATATTGTGGTGCACAAACAAACCTACCTTTGTTGCGCGTTCTTCAAGTCTTCGGACTGCTCAGTGAACAGGTTGGTCAACTCCTGCTGGAATATGAGCGATAAGTCCGACCAGATTTGGGCATTATTTGATAGCCAGAGAAGTCGTTCCAAAGTATCTTGTTCTCTCGCACTTCTCTCCAACCGTCTGTTTGTAAGCTGGGGGTGTGGAGTTTGCTTCTCAAATCCTTCGAGGCGCTTGCAAACTTCCCAAGCTTTGGCAAAAGTGCTAGGTGCCAGTGTTTCACCAATGCGCTTGAAAACTACGTCCTGAAGCAACGGCATAAAAAAGTGTAAAGCGAGTGCCATGTTTGAAGCTTGATGTACGATAAGCCAAAATTCTAAGTCCCCAAAATAGCATTTATATCTCACTTAACCGAACAAGCTGCACAAAAGTTTGTTGAAAACTGTGTAGCAGCCCACTTATGGCTCTTCAGGCGGGCATAGGCCCCAGTTTCCAACAGTTCTGCAAATGCGTAAATTTTATCATTTCAAATTTAAGGTTTAAATTTTTCGTTACCAAAGAAAATGTTTCGGCCATTTTCTTGTCTTCGTTTGTATTTCCGGACCAAGAAGTTTGACGAAACAATTGCTTGATGTTGTTTGGGGATAAGTCCTTTGGATTAATGGACGCTAGGTGTTCCAGGATCTGACCAGCAATATCTTCTACCCTGCTGGGAATTTCGTACAAACTTGAACGTAGCGTGAGTCGGTTTCGTAAATGAAGTATTGCATCACGAAGTTCGCCCGTGTCTTCATATCGGAGCGCCTGAATGACGGAAATCACATCTAACTTAAACAATCGTTATGAAGAATTTTCATGGTCAGAAGGTAGGTTATATAACCGAATGTCGCAAACGAAAAGAAAGAATGCGCCGCTCTAACAAGAGGTCGATTCAGTCGCAAGCAAACAAATGAAATCAAGTCGAAAAGCAGTAAAATGCAAGAATCGTCAGAGGAAAATGCGCTGAGAATCGGGTACTGCTTTAGCATTGTGGCTCTTCCAAAAGCGGTATTTGCGAGTCTTTTTTCTCGGTTATTGGCTGATTCGACCAAATTCATGAAGCAATACTAATTAACAAATTCCAAATCGATGGTCGGCAAACACATGAGTTCACTTTCTACGTTATACCCTCGGATCATACTTTTATACCTAATTTCGTGTTATCACGACAGATTATACTCGTCTAGTTAATTCTTCCACTGTTTCTCACAAAATCAACACAAGTTTGATTACAAAACAGCCACGACGATTCTCAGGCCGCTTGATGATTAGTACCACTCATGAGAAAATTAGTTATGCGCCCATCATTGACAGCAAACGCTGTGGAATTGGAAGATTGCAGGTTTCTCTAGCAAACTATCAATGTATCTGCCCGTCAGTGTTCGCAGTACTCCTGGAGAGGAACACTGGTTCTCCTATTGTTTGGACAAGGGTCGAGTTTACAATGAGCTTCATATTACTATATGGATCATAAACCTGACCGATGCGCGCAATGGAAATTAAAAGACTTTCGGTGTTTGACCATCGATGTCTCCGGAGTAATGCCCGAGTTTGGTGAGAATACCGATCAGCCATTCCGAAGTACGTCGAATGGTATTTGAAAGAAATAACTCATCCTCGAGGGATTAGCTAGTCACACTGCGTAGGTTGCGCTGCCTTTGTGACGTGATCTGTATGCCTGTCGACCGACTTCCTCAAAGCGTTTTTTGTACACCCACGTGAATGGTAGAAAAAAAGCCACAGGCGGTCAAACAATGACTCATCATCATCGACAGCATGACATCGGTGTTCAACACTGATGCTTTACTGCCGTACAACCATGATTTATTTGAAAGCCTTATTGCAAAGAAAAGAGTAAAGGTGGACGGGGAAGGGACTTAGTGCTAGTTTACCACAATCATTCCTAGGTGCCTACACCTCCAGACTTGGCAGCGAAGTATAAAAGCCATTGCCAGCAAGCTCTGCTGCGCTAACCATTGCCGTCTTCCTGGATGGGAACTCCAAGACAAGCAACGTCAATGGACAGAGGCACTGTCAGACATGTCCCAGTCGCGCCCTCAATGGCGCTCGTGCATCTTAACTATCGCCTTCAATGCATAGCTCCCTTCCCAATTCCCCAACCTTACAATCCACTGACAGTGCGGTATTTACGTACCAATCTATCAGCTCCCGCCTCCAATACGCCAAATAATCGTGAACCAAACTGTATCAGCTACAACCACTGTACGACAAGTACGCGCTTCTTACAGCTCACCATGATGATAATTATGGGCCAGGGGTATAATAAGGCACAAAAATGCATTGGTGACGATAAGCTTCTGGCTGACCGGTGCTAAGCAGCTTCCGATTTTTGTATCATTGCTTCGTTGGCCAATCGTGTAAATAGAGATAGACGGAAACATGGGTTGGATTAAGTATGACATGAAGCGGTAACTCCAATAATGGTACAATTGGTTGATAAACCACATGTCAGTAACTCAGTTCCCTTTTCGATTTTGACCTCTGTGTGAACTTCTTGTACTACTGGGCTTTCGACCGATAGTATACGAATATATCAACCGCTTAAATCTGTGATGCTGCCAATTGATTTCTTACATTTTCCAAAATGGATGAAAACGCAGCCGATAAATTTTTTGGTTATTTTTTTGTGGGCAAAACGGAGATCCCTTTTCTGTTGGGACTCTTATAACTTCGAAATCATCGCGCTTTGTTCTCCTATAATATTGGCCCAAATCCACCCATTTAGATGCACTGGAGTTTCGGCCAGTCGGTCTAATCAGACAAACAAAAGGAGCCGAATTTAAACAGAATTAGACTAATCGGAAACTGAATGCAATAGAACAAACAAAATTACGTATTTTCAACTAACAAAGCCAGTCAGCTCCAACATTTTCTAGAATAGATCCGTGTTCGATTTGAAGCTACGAATGTGAGTTGATTACTGTGATAACTGTTCCTTTTCGTTCCAGAAATCGATCAAGGCTTGGGTTTCGGTCAACTTTTATCTGAACCATGAAGTAAACTAGAAACCCAGCAGAGGTAATAAAATAATTTGGCTGGCACCTCACT